AACTTGCTCCTGGAACGAATTAAGTTCGTTGTGTGAGGCACCACTGTACTACAATTTTGCAATATTCTTTGTTATTACATTGTGAAGTAGCACAGCTGTATCCGATCGGATCGGGCGTGCCGCAGGGAAGCATCCTGGAACCGGTGTTGATCACAACTATCACAACTATCCCTCGAAAATAAACTACTGATTTACAAGACAGTGCTGAAGCCAGTGTGGACATATGGCATCCAGCTTTGGGGAACAGCCAGCAATTCCAACATCGAGATCCTGCAACGTTTCCAGTCGAAGTGCCTGCGAACCATGGTGCAGACTAACGACACGATACATAATGACCTCCACAAGAACACTGTTAAAAGTGAAATCCCCAAGTTTAGTGCCCGTTACCAGAACAGACTTGAAAACCACCCCAACAGTCTCGCGTTATCCCTGCTAGATAATAGTGACAGCCCCCATAGACACAACACCCTCGACCTCCCCTTTAGAAACTAAAAGTTAGTTTCATTGTCTATTAGAATGAATATTTTTATATAATTTTCATAGTGTCGTCAAAATTGATTTTTTTTTGGGTTAATATTGTCATTGGATTCATTTTTTAGTTAAATTTGTATTTGTTTTTAGGAAGATTTCCGATGGGAAATCGTTCCGCTCCATGCTTTTTATTTCGTTTTTTTCTGTTTTTATTTTCTTTTTCATTCTGTCTTGTCCAAAAAAACATTCGATTGCCAGAGATGTTGGCAGATTGTGAATAAATAATAATAGTTAAAAAAAAATGCATTGTTGTGTCCAACCATTATTATTATTATATAATTATTATTATTAATATAGTGTATTAACGAACTAAAGACCTCCATGGCGTCTCTTAGCCGCATTATTATATAAACATATACATCAGGGAATCTGTACCGTGATTCCAGTTCAATACACTTAATATGAACATAGGGGACCAAGCGTAAACATTACCATCGATACTCCTATACCTTTACTCCGAATTCAAGTCCTTATTATAAACACTTAATGATCATTACACGTACAATCGTAATCGATCATTTTTTTTATATAAACAAATACATTGGATTTTGTCCCGGTCTAATAATAAACAAAACCACCAAGGCTGGATCCCGTGGGAACACTTAATCATCAATATTTACAAAGCCCACCCTATTTACAACTTCCACCCTGTATTAATAAGAATTAACTTTGTAAGTAGAATAAGTAAAACCTTATTTTTATGAAAATGAATCTTAAATTGACCAAGTAACGAATAAAATTATGTAAACCAAAGGAATTTCATTAAAATCCCAACTATTGAGACTCCAATGACAACACCAGATAATATACCACTGTGTCCAGAATTCCATTTCTGGGACACGACAACATGTTTAAGAAGTATTGGACTTTTTGTGTGTTCTGAAGTTTTTATGTATTATTAGTATATATTATAAACGTCTTGATTACTAATAATCACAGAAAATATTGAAGTAATTTAAGAAAAAAATTAATTACAAAATATATTTAGCGAGACAACATAACTTAAATATATTAGTTGTACTTTATTGTAAAAAAAAGTAAAATTTATTAGTTAATTAAAAAAAATACCTGTTTGCTGCTAATATAAAACAACATTCGAATAAACTTACTGTATATTTATGAATTATTTTGCTAATAAAAGGAAACAGAATCCAAATATTCCTCATTATTTCGATAAAAGATGAAGACGTCTGTTGTATTATTCGCTGTGCTTGTTTTCAACGTTCAAGCATTAAAACTGGTGAGTTTTTGTTATATAATAAAAAAAAGATATCTATATATATTATTTTTTTTTAGAATTTTACTTCAGAATATGAGCCAAAGTTGACACAAATCGGAAGGGAATGCGCAGAGACTAGAAATGTAGATTTCAAACACTTGCCGAGACTTTTTCATATCGACAATTATCCAACCCACGAAGAGTTAAACTGTACAATGTTATGTATGATCAAGAAATTCAATGCTTTGGATGATGACAATCGCTACAGAATTGAGATTCTTAAGAATTTCTTCAGCGATCCGATTCTTCAGGATAGCGCCGAAAAAGCGGTCAAGCGATGTTTGCCCGAAGATCAGAAAATTAACTCATGCAAGGATGCATACGATTTATACCAATGTTTTCTAAACAAAGTATAAATTGTAAATATCAAGAAATTAACAGAAAATAATTATATTAATATTCATATTTCAAATTCTAGTTAATTATAATATTATATTACTGTTTTGAAAACGAATTAAAAAACAAGTATAATTTTGATATTATTTCGATAATATTAAGTAAGAAACGTCCGAGTTCGAATTAACCTAAGTATGTGCCTAAGATATCAATACAGCTTTGCCAGTTTCGTGTTAGTTAGTCTAAGTTCTGAAGACTTCGATGGGTGACGGAGAGTTTCCAAATCCAGCTTTTGCAGTTTGAGCAACGTTATTCGTGCGACTTCTTATCAAACATTGACTTGCAAAAGGTTTGATCTGTCTTTATTCACCAATGTTGGCTACTTATTCCCAAGACTCCTCATCATTTCGTCTACTTGGTTACATTAGAGATCTTCGGTAAACGATTAACTAGGTCTCAAGAAGCTGTAGTTAAAAACACCAATGCTGGACCACCAAACAGACACCAGATACTTCTTTAGGGAAATATTTTCTTTCGTAGTGTGTCCATTTTTCGTAACAATGTAGTGTAAAAATTCGCCTTAATATCGTGACAGCAATGAAATGGAAGCTTCGAAACGAAATACGCTAGACGTCTTTATCTAAACACTCAATGGAACACTTCAGAAATGATATTATTAGGAATTTCTTCACAGATCCGATTCTTAAGGATAGCGCCGAAAACGCAATCGAGATGTGTTTGCCTGAAGATCGGAAAATCAGCACGTGCAAGGATGCTAACGATTTATACAAATGTTTTTTGAGCAAAGTATAAATTCTAAATATCACGGAATTAAACAGAAAAAAATATACTACGTTACTTTTTATTAAATTTATATTTTTTTTACAACTATATGAATTATGAAAGTAATACAGTTAATTCAAAAATTGTTCATCAATAAACATTTTTTACTTAACAAATTAACAATTTTAATTAACAAGTTTTTAATTGTTACGAATCAATCATTTAGAAGAAAAAGCCTTGCAGGACTTATTTTAAAGGAGAAAGCTTTGTCAGGGAATGTCCTGATAATGTTATATATCTCAAACGTCCTGAGGAAAAGACAGAAGGAAAGTTCTTTAGACAGATTTATAGTAAACGTCAAAGCTGATGTACCTAAATCAATATCAAGTACAGTAAAAATACATGAAAGAGGAATAATGTTTGTTAAATTTATTTCATCTAATTGCTTTTGTATATATGGATTTTATTATTAAGCAGTGTTCAAATCATTTGATAATAGTACATTAATGTATTATCTTTATTTACATGTCGGTAGCAAACGAGTTGATTTGTTGGTGTTCGTGCTAAAGTAGCAAATAATATAATTTAAAATTACCGACATTCAACACGTACGATAATAAAAATAAATTATCATTAACTATAAAAAGGAACCAGATAAGAAAATATTCATTTGACTAAACGAGAACATGAAGACAATATTAGCAGTTTTACTGCTTTCTGCTACAGCCCCAATAAGAACAGAGAAATTGGTAATATATTAGATGAATTTTTGTTAATTTTAATTTGTTGATTTTCAGGTATTTTCAGCAGAATACAAAAATATAATCGCACTAACTAGAATAGAATGTGCAGTGGTGAATCCAATGGATCCGAAGTTGTTATTCAAACTTGATGATATTAAAGATTTGCCGAGTCGTGAAATTCTGAAATGTCATTCGCTTTGCATGATAAAGAAGTTGAATTTGTTAAACGATGACAATATTATGGAGTTGGACAAGTTGATGCAGTTGTTTAGTAGTCCAAGTCTATTGATTAAGGTACCAGCTTCGTACGCAAAATGCCAGCTTAATTTAAAAAGCATACAAACTTGCAACGATGGTTACGACGTTCAACAGTGTCTGCTTTACAATGTATGAGCTTTTTCGTATGTTTGGTTCTTCAATAATTATTTTGTATGTAATACATATAATATAATGTTCTTCAATATAAACTTTTAATTATCCTTTAACGTTATGTTTTATTATTAATAATTATCATTTATAAAAAAAGATAATATTTGTGTATACATTTATATTTGTTATTCCACTTTCAAATATGTCCTGAAGTTTTCATGTATTATTGCTATAAATTTTAAAAGTCTCGATTAAAGCGTCTGTCTGTCATTTTTGTTTGTCTGGAAAAGTTTCCAAACTCATTTTCTGCACTCTGTGTTTAATGTTTGTTTACTTTAGTTTCGGTCGCCAGACTTTGATTGTTTCTGTACGTTTGATTGAAAATAAGTTAAATATTTACTTAGATGGAAAGTAACAACATTAAGCTGACGACAATTTCTCTTAGTTACATAATAAAAATGTACAATTTTACAGGTAGATCTATAGCGGTGGCAATCGCAAGCCCGACAACTGAAATACCGTATATCGACTGTAGCAAAATCCCGACGTTCGAAATCCGGACTATATCAAAATCCCGACATCCATAATCTCGACTATATCTAAATCCCGACTATATCAAAATTTTGACAATGATAATCCTGACTGTATCAGAATCTCGACAACCAGAATTCCGACAAACATAATGCCGACTATATCTAAATCCCGACTATATCAAAAATATATATTCTTTTGAAATAAACTAATTTAAGCACAGATGAGTAACTATTTATATATAATAAAAACATTCAGTAAATGATCTGGCGGTTGATAAGATTTGAATTGGACATCGCCCATTGGCGATTATCCATTACTTATTGGTTATTTGTTGAATCTCAAGGGTAGATCCAGTCGCTGTGTTGTTAGGCTATTGTCCAGAAAATTGACAGCTAGTATATTTGGATGACTGTCTAGTATATTTTGGTATCGACTACTGTTTTTGGTAATTGTTTCCTCTACTGTTTCCAATTGAAGGTCCTCATGAATTCTCCTGTTCGTAATGTACCATGGAGCACCAATGATCCTTCTTTCTTCGACTGGAATCTTTGTATGATCGCAATATTGCATCTACTGCTAACCCTCCTAGCTGTATTTCGTATGTCCAGACACGTTTTAAAATTACTTTATAGATCAAGAACTTGTTTTCTTTTGAAATTGGCGAGTCTTTCCGTAATAGCCAGTAGAGTACCTTGAACATAATTTCGAGTTGTTTTCTTTTTGCTTGAATGTGATTCTTCCAGGTCTTTTGAAGTTTTCATTGTCAAATTCCTGCACACAGTGAAATATTGTCTGGTGTTTTCGTTGTGGAGTTTCAATACTTGGGAATTTAATGAAATTGCTTTGGTTTTACATCACTTTATTCGTTATTTGGTCGATTTAAGATTTATCTGAGACTATGCTCGTCATATTAAGATTCTTATAAGACTATGTTCATCTTATTAAGGTTTTACTGAGACTAATTCTAAATACTTATTCTACTTACAAAGTTAATATTTATTAATACGGGGTGGGAGTTGTGATCAAGAGTAGGGTTTGTATATATTGATGATTAAGCGTTCCTACGGGATTCGGCCTCGGTGGTTTTGTTTATACAAACTGTGGATGTCTCTAGTTCGTTAATACACTAATAATAACAATTATAATAATAATAATAATGGTTAGACACAACATCATGTATTATTTGTATAGATTTTAAACGTTTCGATCGCAGCGTCTCTGTCATTCTTATTTTTCTCGCTTGTTTGTCTGGTAAAGTTTTCAAACTCAATATCTGCACTTCGCGTTTAATGTCTGTTTACGTTACTTTCAGTCGCCAGACTTTGATTGTCTCTGTACGATTGATTGGAAATAAGTTAAATATTTACTTAGATGAAAAGCAACAACATTGAACTGACTTCAATTTCTCTTAGTTATATAATAAACATGTACAATTTTACAGGTAGATCAAAACCGTTAAAAGAAAAAACAGTTTTGGAATCTGAGCGTATCTAGATAGTAAAATTAATTGTTTATTAAGTGTAATGTTGTGTTCAATCACTAAGAGAGAATACTATCGAGAGCAATGACCAAATCCTTCTTAAAAAGATTCGATCGAGAGCACTGACAGATAAGAACATTCCTTCCTATTTTGAACTCGAAACCAAGATGCATATAACAGGCAAAGGAGTATTGACCTGAAGCGGAGTTTCTTATCACTGCCTTACTCCTCAAACTCCCACCCCATCTAGTTGCCTTAGTTAATTGTATACATATAATAAGTATTTCTAATTAGTCTCAGTAAGAGTCTTAAGTAATAAACATTAGTCTTAGTAATAACGTTAAAGAAATAACAACCACATATTAATAATTATATTCATTCAAATTTTCCTAACCACATAGACGACAACATTTTACAGTGTCCCGATTTCCATAATAGTAGGCTTAAAAATTAAACTTTTTTTTTTGGTGACGTCAACAAATACAATTTTTCTAAATGCTCAAATCATCTTCAATAAACTATTTATACTTTATGCTTAATTAAAAAATTCTCCAATATATTAATAATAAATGAAATGAAATTTGATTTGCAAATGTATTAATCTCACTGCTTACAGTGATGGTAATTTTATTAACAATAATTCAATAATTAAACTTGTTTTGCGCTTATGTAAATTGACTAAAGATTATGCATAAATAACGCAAGATCATTTAAAAGTGACTATGGCAAAGATAGAATAAATAGAGGAAATTTATTTTCTTTTTCCAGTTAGTTAACACAAACCATACAACGAAGAACACATTAAACATGAAGACAGCATTTGTAGTGTTCATCGTTTCGATGACTTTCGTTTGTGCGGAAAAGTTGGTAAGGAATTTATTTAAAAAAAAAGAGTAATAATGTTAAATAATGGCTACATGATTTCTATTTTTTTTAGAGATATTCAACAAAATATGTTGATAAAATTGAGAATGCTAAACGTCAATGTGCAAATGAGGAAAACATAGATGTTCAATTAATATATCTGCTTGATGATATCAAAGATTTACCAAAACGTGAAAATCTCAAATGTTTATCGTTTTGCACCACAAAGAAGCTGAATTTATTGGATTCTCAAAGTCTAGTGAACTTTGATAAGTTGATTCAGTTGTTTGATGATCCAGATCTGATTGCAAAAGTGTCCTCTTCTTACACTGCATGTAATTTTAAAGAAAATCAGATGAAATCTTGCGAGAATGGATACGATATGCATAACTGCCTTCTCACCAATCTCTGATTTTTTTTTCTTATACAGCATAAAAATGATTAAATGATTCATATTTTCTATTGTACTTTATTTTTAAATAAAATGATTTAAGCACAGATATTTCATTTATTTGTATCTACCAAATATAAACTTATTTAAAAACTTTAACCAATTTGAATGATTATAACTTCAGCTTTCATTCAAAATTGTTACCGTTGTGGCAAATTTACTGCTGATAATGGTAAAATATTCATTTATAAACTTCAACAAATATTTCATTTGGGGTTGTGATCCGTTCTTGCTCAAAACTACAAACTATTCTACAGTATCCAGAGTTATTTTAGAAGAGTCAACAAATACAATTACCCTATGTGCACAAACCATCTTCAATAAATTATTTATACCTAATGTTTAATTAATAAATTCTACAATATATTAATAATAAATGAAATGAATTTTGCAATTATAATATATTCTTCTCACAGCTTAAAATAATGGTAATTTTATTTAAAATATTTGAATACAATTGTTCATCTCATATTTATTTGAACTTGTTTTGCACTCATGTAAATCGACTTGAATTTATGTGCAACAATGAGAGAATAAAAAGCGAAGATTGATTTTTTCGTCAATCATTTTAACACCAACCTTTGTTATACAACGTGTTTTTCGTGATTAAACTTTCGAATAAACATGAAGACAGCATTTCTAGTATTCATCGTTTCGATGACTTTTGTTTGTGCAGAGAAGTTGGTAAGGAATTTATATTAAAAATAATTAATAATGTTAAATAATATGTACATGATTTCTATTTTTAGAAATATTCAACAAAATCTGTTGATATAATTGAGAATGCTAAACGTCAATGTGCAAATGAGGAAAACGTAGATGTTCAATTAATAACTCTGCTTGATGATATCAAAGATTTACCAAAACGTGAAAATCTCAAATGCTTATCGTTTTGCATTGCAAAGAAACTAAATTTATTGGATTCTCAAAGTCTAGTAAACTATGATAAGTTGATTCAGTTGTTTGATCCAGATCTTATTGCAAAAGTGTCCTCTTCTTACACTGCATGTAATTTTAAAGAAAATCAGATGAAATCTTGCGAGAATGGATACGATATGCATAACTGCCTTCTCACCAATCTTTGATTTTTTTTTCTTATACAGCATAAAAATGATTAAATGATTCATATTTTCTATTGTACTTTATTTTTAAATAAACTGATTTAAGCACAGATATTTCATTTATTTGTATCTACCAAACATAAACTTATTTAAAAACTTTAACCAATTTGAATGATTATAACTTCAGCTTTCGTTCACATATAATTAATATTTACATTGCAAAAGAATCTATATGAAATGTATAACTTTTCTCCTACCACAAATATTCAAAATTGTTACCGTTGTGGCCAATTCACTGCTGATAACGGTCAAATATTCATTTATAAACTTCAACAAATATTTCATTTGGTGTTGTGATCCGTTCTTGCTCAAAACTACAAACTATTCTACAGTGTCCAGACTTATTTTTGAAGAGTCAACAAATACAATTTCCCTATGTGCTCAAACCATCTTCACTAAAATATTTATACCTAATGTTTAATTAATAAATTCTACAATATATTAATAATAAATGTAATGAATTTTGCAATTATAATATATTCTTCTCACAGCTTAAAATAATGGTAATTTTATTTAAAATATTTGAATACAATTATTCATTTCATACTTATTTGAACTTGTTTTGCACTCATGTAAATCGACTAGTATTTATGTGCAACAATGAGAAAATAAAAAGCGAAGATTGATTTTTTCGTCAATCATTTTAACACCAACCTTTGTGGCATTTGTAGTGTTCATCGTTTCGATGACTTTTGTTTGTGCAGAGGAATTAATACAAAAAAAATGTTGATTATTTGATTGTCTGCCCAATTATTAATTAATTTCTATATAAATTGTATTTTTTTCAGAGATATTCAAGCGAATTTGTGGATGTAATTGATGCTGCTAGACGCGATTGTGCACTAAAGGAAAACGTAGATATTCAATTATTAAGTCTGCTTGATGACATCAAAGATTTACCAAGTCGTGAAACCCTCAAATGCTTGTCTTTCTGCGTCATAAGGAAACTGAATTTAGTGAATTCGCAGAGTATTTTGAGTTATGATAAAACGATACAATTGTTTGATGATCCAGACATGATTGCTGAAGTGTCTGCTTCTTATATTAAATGTGATTTTAAAGAAAAAGAGATGAACACTTGTGATGATGGATACGACATACATAAATGTCTTCTCGTCAATGTCTGATTTGCTTTGTTTCCATATTATATTAATATATTTTCGCAATTAATATTTTTCTATTGTATTTTATTTTTAATAAACTGATTTAACACTAGTGTTAGTAATATTTTTATTTTCCTTTGTATTGCAATAAACTATATAATTATTAATTTAAATATATCAAAATATTGAAGATATGATATAAAATATTTTCATCATTTTGCAATAAAATATACAAAATTATGTAATTAAGTATAAAAAAAGTTTGATAATTTAACCTAAAGATAAATGACAAAACTTTCTTTTATTCTCATAAAACAATATTATTACAGTTGAAATAAATAATTATATTTAAGGAAAATGTAAGTATATCCATAAAAAGTAAATTTCCATTGATTATGAAATTGGTGTGGATATATATGCATTGATAACATACATTTACATGGAAATTAATGCCCCAAATCTCTTATTTATTATTATCCACAATCAGAAAATTAATATTTAAAAAAATAATAAATCAAAAAGTTGGAATAAATAGCGGAGTTTTTCATAAAAAATAACAAGTATTATACAACAAGCATTGACTACAAGCGGTGTAGACTGTCAAAGATGAAGCAAATATTCGCAGTTTTTATTATTTTGATGACTTTTGTTTGTGCAGAGAAGTTGGTAATTATTAGTTTTTTTTTCTATTGGAAGATAATTATTACTTTTTCGTAAAATGTATTTTTTTTAATTATGTAGAAATATGCAACATCACAAGTGCAAAGAATTAATGCCGCTCGACGCGAATGCGCGAAGGAGGAAAAAGTGCATGTTAAATATTTGAGGAGACTTGACGATATCAAAGATCTACCGAATCGTGAAACTCTCAAATGCTTATCGTTGTGCATCACTAAGAAGCTGAATTTATTAGATTCTCAGAGTCGATTGAGCTTTGATAAGTTGAAACAGTTGTTAGTTGATCCAGCTACGGTTGCCAAAGTGGCAATTTCTTTTACTAAATGTCGTTTCTACAAACAGCAGATGAAAACGTGCGATGACGGTTACAATATACATAATTGCCTTCTCGCCAATTTCGGATTAAAGTAAATAATGTAATCAATATTATTAAAAGGTGTATGAAATATCAATAAATACAGTTAACATAAGATTTTTTTTGTATTTTACTTTTCCTTTTAAGGTATAAAAAAGAAATTTCAATATATAAAGAAATTAAGAATTGAGCTATAATCAATGCATGTTACATAATTCCTATTTCAAAATACTTTGCACCAATCTTTGAAACCGGACTAATCGTGGACTGTTTTATAGAACAGAAAAATTAATAGCACAAAAAGAGCCTTTTTTGATCAATTAAAATGTAGTTCGTTTTAAATTTTTGAAAGCGTACTATAACAAATCCGCACTGATAGAAGCAGCACTATGGGAGGTGTAACTATACTAGTATTTAATGCAGGTTAATTGTTAGATAATTCTTATTTTAATTACATATAAATTTTGGAACTTTAAAGAAATCAGTCGAAAATTGTTTTTTATTTCTTGTCATAATCAATCAAAATACTTTGTATCACTGTTTGAAAGCGGACTAATTGAGGACTGTTTTCATAAAAACAGAAAAATCAACACACAAAAAGGCTCTTTTGTCATTTTTTTACTCAATTAAAATATAGTTCGTTTTAAAATATTGATATAATTAATCCGCACTGATTGAAGCAGCACTATGGAAGGTGTAACTATATTAGTAGTTAATGCAGGTTAATTGTTAGACAATTCCTATTTTAATTAAATATTAATTGCAAAACTTCAAGGAAATCAGACGAAAATTGTTTTTTTATTTCTTATAATAATCAATCAAAATACTTTGCATCACTATTTGAAACGGGACTAATCGAGAACTGTTTTTATAAAAACAGAAAGTCTGTTTTGTCATTTTTTTACTCAATTAAAATATAGTTCGTTTTAAAATTTTAAAATAATGAATCCGCACTGATCGAAGCAGCACTATGGGAGGTGTAACTGTATTAGTAGTTATTGCAGTTTACTAGTTAGATAATTTCTATTTTAATTACATATAAATTGGGGAACTTCAAAGAAATCAGTCGAAAATTGGTTTAAATATCTTATCATAATCAATCAAAATACTGTTTGAAGCCGGACTAATCGAGGACTGTTTTTATAAAAACAGAAAGTTTCTTTTGTCATTTTTTTACTCAATTAAAATATAGTTTGTTTTAAAATTTTGAATTAATGAATCCGCACTGATCGAAGCAGCACTATGGGAGGTGTAACTGTATTAGTAGTTAATGCAGGTTAATTGTTATTTTATAATTCCTATTTTAATTACATACAAAATTGGAGCACTTTAAAGAAATCAGACGAAAATTGTTTTTTTATTTCTTGTCATAATCAATCAAAATAATTTGTATCACTGTTTGAAACCGGACTAATTAAGGACTATTTTTATAAAAACAGAAAAATAAACAGCATAAAAAAGCTCTTTACATAACTAAATTGTAGTTTGTTTTAAAATTTTTAAAGCGTACTATAATGAATCCGCACTATGGGTAGTGTAACTGTATTAATATTAAAAGTGAAACATTTAATTTTACCTGTTTAAATGTTTAAATATGTGTACTAGAAAACACTAGTAATTGATAACGTTTTGTATAAATTAAAGTGAATTTATTATTGTATATTACAAAGACTATAGTTTACGTAACCACGTTTTCTCATTGATATTAATAGTTTAAACAAACATTGATTACAATAATTGAAAGATTATATATGCATGTTTAGTGAAAATGGAAATAAACGTTCGCTTATTACTATTTTTTATTACCCACAATCTACATGCTTAATAAAGTGCAACATGTAATCAACTTTAGTAATTTATGTCATGCTTATACAGCTACAGTATATAAATGACGGGAAAAGTAAACATTTAATCATTCTAAATATAATTTATATATACATAAAAACACACCAGTTAATAGTTTTGACAGTTTTATGAAATTGAAAAACAAAAAAGTATAAGTATATTTTATTGTATGTTAAAATTTATTTATGTATAAATTGTACTTTTTTTTCTCTTCTTCTTATGTATCGATGTTTGGCCAATAAATTATTATAATTAATTAATTTAAAAAAAAAATCAATTTATTTTTTCCAAAAAATATAACAAAATAAAATGTATAATAAAGACTATAATATCCTAGAAAACTATTAAATAATGAAAATAAAATTTACTTTACAGAAACCCATAAAAAATGAATAGTAATGAATGTCTTTAAATTATTATTTTTTTCCTAAGAAAATATGATGTTAAAACAGAACTTTGTCCTTGTTTTCTATTTTTTCATATAATTATATAATTGTCTTAAAATAAACGTTTACAGTTTGTAAAATCAATATTTAACATTTGTAATTATGTAACTATAAAGGAATGTTGTTTTATAGCAATAACAAAAAAAACAAATATAATTAACTGAATCAAAAAGAAATTGTCAACAAAAAAAAAAACATAATTCTAAAAAGTTTAAAAAACATTATTTATAGCTAAACCTGTCTAGAAAGGTCAATTTGGTTGCAATAAAAGAGAACACCTATGAATTATAACATTTACTTTTGGTTGAAGCGCCAATATGAAAACTACACTTGCAATTATCGTCATTTTAGCGGCTGTTACCCAAGCCATCGAAATAGTAAGTTATGAGATAATTATTTTTAATTATAATAAATATCTCACATAGTGCGGATTCAGAGTTTAAAAATATCAAAAATAAACAAAATTTTGTTTAAACAAAATCAAAATAAATTCTATACAAAGTCTATTTTTGTGCGTTTTTTTGTAAGTATTTAGTTGCTCGGTTTCAAATACACGGAACCGCACTGTGCGAGGTATTATAATTATAAAAATATATTGTATTCTTTTAACTATGTTAATTGATTTTCGCAGAAATACTCAGCCAAGTCTATAGATAAATATGTAGCTGGAGGTAAAGAATGTGCAAAAGAAGAAGGCGTGGATCCCATCTACTTGACCAAACTGAATGACAAGAACCAGCTTCCGAACTACAATGAAATAGGATGCCTGAGTTTATGCATGATGAAGAAGTTTAACCTGATGGATAGTGAACTTCATTTCATTTCCGAAGAGTTCTTGCAATTTTTCGATAATCCAGTCGTTAAAGAGACATTATCATCATCTATGGATAAGTGCACGCTCATGTATGACACAATGAAATCCTGTCAAATCGCCTACGATCTTCATAAATGCATCCTTGTTAACCTGTAGAATAAAAATATTAATATTAGCAAATGTAATAAATAAATAAAATCTGTTGTACAATACTTTTTTCAACTGTGAAGTGATTTCAATGTTGTTTGAAAAAGTTAATTTACCTGACATTTAAAATTTTGCTGTCAACTACATTTCAATATAAAAAAAATAGTAATTAATTATAAAAAATAAATATGATGCACTTTGGAATCATTAAGAATAAATTAAAATTAATCTACATATTAATTAACATACCGTTATTTTATCTCTTTTTTTATATTTAACTTTTTTCAATAAAAAGGCTTGTTTACTGTTACAGCTTTTAGTCGAGGTTTATGTAACAATATGAGAACATTACCACTAATCGTCGTACTTTTTGTGACCTCTTTCGTCAACGCAAACAAAATCGTGAATTATTTTATATTAAACTAGATTGTGTTACTAATTTAAATGCATTTTGTTTTAGATATACGCTAAAAAGGATGTTGAACGAATTGCGGAAGTTGCTAGTATTTGCACGAAGAGTGTGCACGTTGATCCTAAGTACTCATTAGATCTTGATGATATCAGAGACTTTCCCAGTCGCAAAGAGATAAAATGCTTAAGTTTGTGCATGATCGAATTATTTGGATTGCTTAGCAAAGAACATCGGTTTCTACCAGAAGCGTATCTCAGTTACATGGATGACCCCATCATTATACAGGAAGCAAAGGCATCTATGGATAAATGTCTTCCTCAATACGATATAATAGATTCTTGCGAAGACGCATATGATCTACATCAGTGTATACTGAAAAACTTTTAACTTAGTGATAGCAAATCGTGTTTTAAACTCTCAACGTTGGTACGCTTCAAATTTTAACTTGAACGTACTCAGAACGAAGTTCATTAAGAATAATTAGAAATTAAGTAATAAAGTTTTAAATTTATTCATATTTCTTGTAAATCTTAGAATTTAATTAATCAAAGTCACCTCAAATTACATAAAATAAAAATGTTATTACGTTGTGTGAAAACTTATATTATTACAAGTTCGCCACCACATATATTACTTAATTATTTTATTACTACTCACTAAATCTATAAATAATGTATTGAAATAAATAAAAATTATCCTTACATACGCTATTTCCTGATTAGCTAATGTTTAGATATTTCATATGTCTCTACTAATTAAATTCTCTATTTTGCAGATGAAATAACAGATTGAATCAAATATGAATCAACAAGTACTTGGGTAAGTGGGTATCAAACCTACTCAATCCAGCATGTAAAAGTACCAACAAAGTCAGGAACAAAAAAGGATATTTTGTTGGAAAAGGCCCTACTCAATTCAACCCCTGTAATGGCTAACGGAAAGTGATCTGGAGCATATTGGAGAGGTGCAGTATTTTCAGTACAATATCTGTATTTTTGAGTTCTGAGTTTACTTGTAGTTCAGTTTATTTAAATCCTAAATGAAATTCTAAATAGCCTAAAACAAATTAGTGAAATTTATCCCACCTTATAGTCCTCGCAAATGTTCCTTCAATCAGACTGGAAAGCTAAAATAAATTAAATATATACATTGGCACTTACAAAACAACCTTGGGAATAAAGAACTAAAACTATATCTAACAAGGATTTTATCGCCATCCTACTAATCAACGGCTATCAAAGTTCTATTTTATCTACTGTTATGTATGTTGCAATAAAGTGATACAAATTAAAATGCCTTCATTTTTTAAATAATTCGGTTTCCGAACAGCCGATAATTTTTGTAATTGAAAATATATTTAATTAAAGTAAACTGCGGAATAATTTAAAAATGTTATTGAAGACATTTTCGATATAGTCGGGATTTTGATACAGTCGGGATTTTTGATACAGTCGGGATTTCGATACAGTCGGGGTTTCGAACTGTACTTTTGGTACTAATGGTGATTATTTTTATACCTCTATAATGAAAATAATAATTATAATTTTTTTTCTAGTAATAGTTTAAATATCATCATTTAATTATCGTTAAAATAAAATCAATAAATGTTTTCTTTAATATACAGCACGTGTACTTATTTAATTCCTTTCTCTATAAATTACTTTCTAATTAACTAGTTAATTATTTGTAAATGAGAAGTAATAGATACAGGTTATGTTTTTATTAGTAACTTATAGTTTGCTGATCGAGTTGCCTATATTAAGATATTTACTTTCTAAATGTCAAAATATATATTTTGACATTAAAGGTTTGTTTGTGTATTAAACTGTTCCTGGGAGACATTGTAAAAACAGTGTAAAAGATGGATGTGGTGCACTATCTTCCCGGTGATCCCGTACTGATCGATCAGATAGTTTGTGAGTTAAAATCACAAGGTATATTTGATAGTTTCCGGAAGGAATGTATCTCGGATGTGGATACAAAGCCTGCATATCAGAACCTCAGGCAGAGAGTGGAAGGTAGTGTTTCAGGTTTCTTGAGGAAGCAGAGATGGAGTCCAGAGATGAACAAGAATCATGTGCGGGAGATGCTCAGGAAAAACATTTACGAGTAATTTGAAGAGTACAACAGTGGTGTAGTTCAATGAATCTAGTTTCATTATATTTTTAGATCAGGATTTCTTGAGATTGGAGTTGAACGGATTGTGGATCAAGTTGTGAATCCGAAGATGAATACAGTGTTCTTACCAAAAGTAACAGAGGTTGTCTATAAGTTTCTTGGTATTGAGAAGCCTAACAAATCTGAAAAAGGAGATGGAGAGGATAATTTGTTGCCAAATGATTTGGAGGCAGTATCTCCTATGTCAGATAGACATAAAGATGAGAAGATGGATATTTCTGAGAGTATGGATGAAAGTAAAATTGATGAGGATGAGTCTCCTCCATTTGAACCAATTGAGGAACCTGAAAATTCAATAGATTCACATATGTCAGGGTTTTCTGGTCTGGTGAGTCATGACTCGAATCAGAGTGATGGGGCTAAACCATTGCAAATAGACATGGATTCTCAGATGTCCAAACAAAGTTCTGATGGAGGGCAGTCCTCTGCAGTTGAGGATCAGAAGATTGAAAACAGTGAAGATTCGAAGAGTTGTGAGAGCAGTGACAAGAGTATAGGTTCGAAAGGTGATAAGGTAGTGAAGGTGGAGGATAAAAAGGATGGTAAAGAAAAGGAAAGAAGTCGAAGGTCGAGTGAGAAGAAGAGCGATAAACATACTAGTAGAGGTGAGAGAAGGGATTCCGAGAGGAGCAGAGAAAAAGAGAGGAAAGATAGTAAGAGTGATAAAGATAGGAGGCATAGTTCAAGCAGTAAGCATTCGTCGTCCAAGAGTAAATCTTCGAGTAGCAAGGATTCTTCGCGTCATCGGGACGAGAAAAGCAAGTCGTCATCGTCATCATCGAAGCACGATAGTCACAGGAAGAGTTCCTCGAGTACTTCGCATAGTCGAGATAAAGATAAAGACAAGAAGGACAATAAGAAACGGAGCAGTCGGGACGATCATTATTCCTCGAAACATAAGACAGAGAGACGGTCCACCGATCGTGATTCCAATGATGGATCAGGTTTGAAGAGCTGTAGCTCCAGCTCGAACTGCGAGTCGAACTCGTCGACGCAAACATCTACAATCCAAAACAACAGCAAACCACAGGATTCCAACTCGAATTCAAACGATTCGGGCAACTCCGATGGCCACGAGGTCAGGCAGAGCGGTATCAAACTTCTCAAACCAAAGATCGCATCGAATATTCAGGAGGCGAAGCGTTTGGCAAAGATACGAAAAGAAATCGATCATCTCGAAAAGCTGAAAAATGAAGAGCTGGAGAAGTTGAAGATCCAAGAGCTTGAGAAGGCGAAGGAAGAAGAGCGGATCGTGGAGAAACCGAGTTTCTCTGCGAGTCTGTTGAGCTGGGAGGCTATGGAAGCTCAGCTCAGCCAGACGTTGAACTATGATAGTTATGGTGATCCGGATAAGTCGAATGACGATGATGATGTTGTGACTGCTGTAAGCGTAGATGAGGTGAAGTACTTTAACGACACAACTGTGGAGGATGAGGCTAACTATAAAATCGGACAGGAGACGATTAGCAAGTTGAGCATCGATATAAGTACGCTGAAGAAGAAAATGGAAGAGAATCTGAACGAATGCACTGCAACTGATAATTGCAGGGAGAACAAGGAGAATAAGAGGACTGGTATCAAACGGAAGATGAACGATAACAAAGCATACGAGAAGGCTAAAAATAATAATAACTTTATCAATGGTAAGTAAACGTAGTGATCAATTTCTATAGAAAGAAAGGTATTATTTTTATTTATTTTGTGTTGCTTTATTACTACCATTTTTATATTACCACAAGAAGTTGCCTGTACAAAGTGAAGTATAACGTTGGACTAGAATTTACTTCAATGATTCACTCTTTATTAAATTGTATTAAATGTGTACATTTTCTGTATTGCTATTGCTTTTTCGAACAGCTCAATACATTTAACTATGTTAATTTGTATATATTGTGATATATAACGAAATGAAATAACGGAAGCCAACATTTTCGAAGATTTTTCTTGTGTGTTAATGTTGAAATGTAATTAACAAAAGTAAAATAACGTTTTTCTCTATGATTTCAGACGAAAAAAGATTGAAACTAAAATGAATGTACCTGAAGTAAGTTGGATATGGAGTACAATTTATTGTAGAAACTTGTAACATTATTTATCACATTCGAAATTATGTGAAATTATTTTAAAATGTTTATTTGTGATCAGTACAGACATTGTTTTAAATAAATATATATTTTTATTTACTGAGTCTCAATAATATGAATGAACAATAATGAAATGAATTAAATAAGCATTAAAGTCGTTATTTTCTCTTAGAAAATAATGCAATAACAAAAGTTTGATATGAAGAAAAGTAACAAAAAAATCTGAGAATTTAACGTTTGACAACACGTGTATATTCGATTTGTAATCGTCTGACTTATTAATATAAAGTAATACTCAACATAGTGCGGTTTCGATCAGTCCGGCATATAGATTTGAAAATTTCAAAAGAATCTAAATTTTAATTGAGCATAAATAATAACAATTCATTGTTAAAAACAAGTTCACAAAATAATTTTCTTATAGATAAATGATTGTTTTTTTTTTCATTTTTTGTTGTCTCTTTTAGTGCGGTTCATATTTGTATACTTTTAGTTTCTCGATTTGTTCGGTTTCAAACACCTGTACTATAAAAATGTTTAAAATAAAACAAAAGTTAAGAATCGTGTGTCACTTGGATGGATGATTGATACTAAGTGATTGGTAATTAATTCAATTCCAAAATAGTTTTGTAATCTTTTGAGTCTGTTGAGAAGTATTGTGTTCAGAAAGTTTAAATTTAGAATATCACAAAAATTCCAACTGAATTATATATTTTTTTGTAGTTTTTTTATTTGAAAAAATAAATTATAGTGAACACAAATCAAAGCAATATAAAAGTACAAAAAGTAAATGCTCCATTGTAATCCAGCGTTTTTTAAATGTTTTGACACTCTACACAACATATTTGTTTGTAGTTGTGCTACAATTCCTATATCACTTTGACATAAGGTGACAGTTGTCATTTCGCGACTCATAAAAATTTAACGCGACCGATAGGTTGAGAAACACTGTTCTAATTGAATGAAGGAAGTTCTGCTCTGTAAAGTTTGTTTTTCTTTCTTTTCATTTTAATGTTTAAATGCAAGTATTATTGCTTTAATTGGTATAATAAGAAGCGACATCTGGAATGGAGCGTTCAATTTCAGTATCGGCATTTTGGTTGTCCTTTCTAATTGTTGGAAAACGTTTGAGAAATGTTTCTCAAATATTTCGTCCTTGTTCTCAATTATTTTTTAGCCCAATTTTCGATTTCTTCGTAAATTTGCAATTGACGATTTAATTCAATGGAAAGTTTACACAGATTTAAAAATTGCTATTATAAAATAATCTACTCTAATTCTACTCAAGAGCTAAATGTTATTCTTCAAGAAAAACTTACTGAAAATTGATTCAAAATCTATGAAATTACAATAAACTTAAAATTTGTTTATTTCACCAAGTTATTTGATTATTTGTATTTAAAATAACAACTTCACAGCAGAATTTGTACTCACTTCATTATGCATTTCATTCACTTCTTTTCTGACTATATTTGGTTGTACAATAACAATTGTTGTGAAATTCGGACACTTTTGCTTTTTAGAACAATGGTACACAACTGAATTAATATTTGATGTCTTAAGCGTTTGAGCAATTGAATAAAATAAACATTGAATTAATAATTAATTCAATTATATAGATAAAATATTTTTTATTTGTTGTTGTAACTTTAAAAAATAATTGAGTAAATTAAACATTGAATTAACAATACAGTAATACCTCGCATAGTGCGGCTACGATCAGTTCGGATTCACTATAGCCCGGTTTGACAATTTCAAAATAAATTAATTTTTAATTGAGCAAAATAAAAGTAAATTGTAATATTGCTGTAAAGTCAAGTCTCTTTTTGTGCATTTAATTTTTTTGCGGTTTTGGAGTCCTCGATTAGTGCGGTTTCAAACAGTCTGTATTGATGCATAGTCAAGTTTGTTGTTATGCATCTAATTGTTATGCGGTTTTAAAGTCCTTGATTAGTTTGGGTTTAAACAGTTTGTATTGATGCACATTCAAGTTTATTTTTATGCATATAATTTTTATGCGCTTTTAAAGTCCTCGGTTAGTGCGGTTCTAAAAATTCCGGTATTGCAGTTTATTTTGATGCGGTTTTAAAGTCTTCGATTAGTCAGGTTTCAAACAGTCTGGTAATGCTGTACAGTTAAGTCTCTTTTTGTGCATTTAATTTTTATGCGGTTTTGGAGTCCTCGATTAGTCCGGTTTCATACATCTGTATTCATCTGTATTGATGCATAGTCAAGTTTGTTATGCATCTAATTGTTATGCGGTTTTAAAGTCTTCGATTAGTGCGGTTCTAAACAGTCCGGTATTGCAGTTTAATTTTATGCGGTTTTAAAGTTCTCGATTAGTCTGGGTTTAAACAGTTCCTATTGATGCACAATCAAGTTTATTTTTATGCATCTAATTGTTATGCGGTATTAAAGTCCTCGATTAGTCCGGTTTCATACAGTCTGTATTGATGCATAGTCAAGTTTGTTGTTATGCATCTAATTGTAATGCGTTTTTAAAGTCCTCGATTAGTCTGGTATTACTGTATAGTTTAATTTTATGCGATTTTAAAGTTCTCGATTAGTCTGGTTTTAATCAGTCCAGTATTGCTGTTCAGTCAAGTCTCTTTTTTTGCATTTAATTTTTATGCGGTTTTGCAGTCCTCGATTAGTCCGGTCTCAAACAGTCCATATTGATGCACAGTAACTTTGTTGTTATGCTATTTTAAAGTCCTCGATTAATCCGGTTCTAAACAGTCCAGTATTGATGTGCAGTTTATTTTTATGTGCTTTTAAAGTCCTTGATTAGTGCGGTTCTGAACAGTCTGGTACTGTGCAGTTTTAAAGTACTGGATTAGTCTGGTTTCAAACAGTCATATTGTTGTGTATATTCAATTTATTTATTATACAGTAAACCTATTTTATATTTAATAATTAAGGAAGATTTTTATCCAACTATGCAACGCTGTATTGTTATAATTTTTACGAATTATTACATTCAATTAACATTTATTGAAGATTGTATTCAATCTTGCCTTGCACTTTCAATTAATTAAGCGTAATTATCGTTACATCATCGCACGTTTCCGCATACTAGACAGATGACATGGAATAACGTACACCATTATAGTTATTTTATGAGTTAGTGCTAATGTATTTCTAATGACTGCATTCAATGAAGACGCAAAACTATTTTGATGTAATAACGTTTTTTACTTTAAGATTCAATCAAAATTTCAGTATTTTCTCAAAAAAAGTGTGTATTATTACCACATATTATAAAGTAACAGAACTATTAGACAGAAGAAGTCTCGTTTCTCAGAGATTCTCAATTATATAAAGTTTCCAGTTTATCAATTATTTTTCAATTAGTTTGATGTACAGGTATCTCCCGACATACGAACTAGTTCCGTTCCAAAGGGTTGTTCGTAAGTCGGAGGAATTTTAAAAATTTCAAAATATACTTATCTTCAAAATATACTTACTTACAGGCACTTTTCAATGTAGACACACACACACACAATAGTACGTCTTCTAAAAATATTATATTATATTAATGAAATTATCAATTTTTGTTTGGACAGCTAATTTAGAATTTGGTCGTAAGTCCGGGAGTTCGTAAGTCAGGGGATACCTGTAATTTCTATTAAATAATTATTTTATTTATAACTTTATTTTTAAATATAATTTAAATTAGGTCAACGCAAGTTCAATAAAAAATTAAAGCTTTTCATCAAATTATTAAAAATTCACAAAAAATATCAATTTATCGTTGTGGATTCTATAATAATCTTAGTTTACTGTAGCAAAATTTTGAAATCATCAATGCACTTCATCATTTCATTCAGATCATTTCGCAACTGCATTCCTCAGAAATACTAAAATAGAAAAAAAATCACACATTCAGATTACCGCTTTCTTTACTAATACCTATGTTTTATCATATTCTGATCTAACAGGCTCAGATTGCTATGTTTTAGTTAGCAATCATCACGTAGACGAGAGATTCTCTCTGCCGCTGAGCCCGGCGGACAGCGATCAGGTGGATGACGAAGAGAAACCTAAGAGGAACATCGTGAAAAGGCAGAGGTACGAGAGCGAAGATCTGTACAAGCCCAGACCCACCATCACTCCGACCAGCCGCAGGAGAACGGCCACCAAAATGGAATAAATAATAAATAAATATATTAACAAACCCATGTAAAATTCTTCCGAATAAATTTTCATTAATTTATTTTACAAAATACAATATACAAAAAAAAATCTATCTCTTAATTAATTTATTTTTTAACGTAAAATTCCTTCTCGTTCGTTTTCTAGCGTTCTACAGTTCTAAAGGTAAGAGGCAAGATGCGTGAGACAGATAAAAACATAAAACAGTCGGTGCTTCTTTTATTTATTTTCTTTCTTCAATTTCTTGCTTTGATTATCGTTTCGCTTTGATCGCGAAGACGCTGATCGTGCTGATGCCAATGATCCAGAGTAAGGTCACTCCGAGTCCGCTAAGAACCTCGGGATGCGTGAAGGTGCGTCCCTTCTTGATGATTTCTCTTAGAGAAACTATGGACAAAGTGAAGGGTAAGCACTTCGATATGAAGTTCAGCACTGTCGGTTGCGCCTCTAAAGGCCAGATCATACCTAGAATATTTTGATTTAAAGTTTTTACGTTCCCAAAATACGAAGAATTTTTCTTACCGCAAAGGATGATCATTGGATAGAAGATTCCGGTGGAAAAGATGTTCGCAGCGCTGTGGCTGTTGCTCACCACTGACACCCAGAATCCGAAAACCATTCCGGTTAAGCCCTGAAGCAGAACGCAGAGGAAGATGATCCACATCTGTCCGATATAGTCGATTCCGAAGACCAGGAACGTTAGAATTACAAGTTCGGTGGTTTGGATAAAGACCAATACGAATTGCGACATGAAATGCGTTAGCACGATTTCCAGAGATGTCACGCCGGCAACGATAGAGCGATCCCAGACGCCCTCAAGACGATCCGTCACTATGATTGTCGATGTTAACGTCGTTCCCAAGAAGAACATCACGCTAAAGCAATTATTACATTAACCATATATTTTTGTTGTATGTAATTATTTTATTTACGTTAAGAGCACTCCTGGAACCATGAATACCGTGTACGTTTCATCCTCCGTTCCGAATTCGAAGGCGAAACGCATCGGAATTTTTCCTAGCTTCTCCAGCAACTTGCAGTCGGTGAACGTTTGGACGGCAAATTCTTCATACATTTTCAGAATTTTGTATTTTATGGTAGCACCAATCTGACGATCTACAAGTAAACAATTATATATTTTTTATATTAACTAACATTTGAATTTGAATGGTAGAGATAAAAATAATATTAAGTTAAATTGATCTTATGATTTACTATATAACTCTTAATAGCACATTTTGTTTCTTCGTTTTTCTTTATATAATGTAAGCTTTAATAACTTAAATCGGTTAAATAAACTTAATAATAATTATTGGTTTGCTGTTATTCTGTTTGCATATTTGTTCATTTAGAATATAATTACATCAGTTCTTGACAGCTGTCAAATTTTAGCTGTTATATAATAACGTGTTACTTATTATATCTATATTTAATTGGAATGATGACTTTCTTAAATTCGTTAAATTAAAGTTCTTATATAAATTCTGTCATAGTTGTTAAATTATAATTATTTGTTTGCAGTGAATCATCGCATTTGCTCATTTATATAATAATATGACGTAAACATTTGTTGACAGCTGTCAAATTTTAGTTATTATGAAATAATTTGTAATTTTTTTCTTAATGTATAAATATATACATAATTAGTCATTACATTAGGAAAATCGAATGTCAAAACCTTGATTTAAATGAAAGAATTTGGTATTAAAAAGATAATAATTACTTGACATGTCTAGCCAGACTTGAATCTGACTGTTCTCTAAAGTCTCGTCGCTGATCTTTCGTCCTTTGTGCAGACGCGCTTCAAACGCCTTTGTGAAATTATCGGCCATAAACATAACTCCAATAATACGACCATGTGTAACATCTTCAAGCGCAACATTCAATTCGTTGTAATAAATCTAAAATTTAGATAAAGACATAATTGATACAATATCAAAATTGTATTATCAACAATTACATTTATTGTCAAAATTGACACAATTAATGTCATTGTATATAACTCACCAGATCCATCATCGGGCCATGTAGATGCTCGACGAAACGACATCCAAGATCTTTAAATTCGCAATCGCTGAAATTGTAAGGTTGCGCCGTTCCTTCTCTGGTGAAATTCGAGCATTTCGTCAGCATACTTTCATCATTGACTATACCCAATTTGATACCTTTGACGTCTCCACCGACGGCCAAAAAGAAACTTAGCATCTCGATGATGGGGAACAATAAGGTGAATACTATTCCACTGAAATTATCTGGTTACGTTTTGTAAATCACATTTTTTTTATGAATAACTTTACCCGGGATTCCTTAAGAACTGTTTCGAATTTTTGGATAGCAATGATTTCATCCGTTTAGAATTCAAGGATATTGCTCCAGTTGTCGTGTTGTATTTCTTGGGAGGACGTTGCACCAAGATCTAAGAAACCATTACATAAATTAAAATAAAATGTTAAGAATTGGGTATTATTTGAAATAGAAACATTAACATTTTTAATTAACCTTTAAAAAAAAAGGTTGAATTCTGATATATAAACTTTTTTTATAACTTCTAAATTATTCGATGGATTAAAAAAAATATTCATGTGAAACGCACTTCTACTTATAGTAACTCGACTTATAGAAAAAACTTTTTTTAACCATCTTGAAAAAAGTTAGGAGTGGTGAAAGTTCTTGTAAACCGAATGTGATATCAAAATTATTTTTTCTCTATTTCATTATATGACTTGTTCCAAGTATCTGTACAAAACTTCATCGAAATTCGTCCGATTTTAAATAAAATTGTGAAGCTCACATCTGTTGACCCATGTTGCTCGTCGCCCAAAGTCATCACGCTTATGTCGTCTTGATTTTGTTCCAGTGCATCGAGTCTGCCTTCTTCCTGTTGTCTGCTTAATATGAGGAACACGTTTTCCAAGGTATCTGTGTCGAAGATTCTCAACAGACGTTCCGGTGATTCTTCCGCCAACAATCGTCCTTCCCTCATTAGACCAATCTGCAAATGAAGGACAAATAATGCTGTTGTATAATAATCAATTTATTGAAAGCTTTGCATTCATTGCAGATTTACGGTTATTTCTTTTGCATAAGTGAATACTATTGTGACGTAGATGCTTTTAATTATAGAAAGGATACAATTCTCGCATTACGAGTCTCATGTAGGAGGAATGCTTGTTTCACTTACTCACTGCATAAGAGAACTTTTCAATAAAGTAAGTAAAATGTATATAAAAACAAAACATCGCCTTTATAACTAAATATAAGATAAATTTTTTTTATGAATTTTCTAAAATATTATAATTGATAAAATTAATTATGAACCAACACATTTTCTAAAAAAAACTGAATCAGACAACTTCGTCAACTGAACCAACCAAATTAAAGGGTAATTACTCTTTCCTGAACATTTTCTAGAATTTGCCTCACTAGGCATGTTCAAAAAGTGATCCCACCCAAAGAGTTAAGATGTAAAAATGCTAATTTTAGGAAAATTAAGATACTGCAGAAGCAAAAGATCCTCCCCGGCGGGGAATCGAACCCCGGTCTCCCGCGTGACAGGCGGGGATACTGACCACTATACTACCGAGGACATATAAATTGTTATCATAAAGACATATATACACTAAAATTTTTGTAGTCGTTCGATAATACGTACATGGTTACGATGTAATTATAGAATTAATGTATAAATATTCGTACAAATGTTCAATAATGTCACTGGGATATGGGCAAATAGCAATGGTTCGCATTTGATTTTTAAGTCAGACAAAAATAAAATTGAAACATGATGTTTGACGGCAAAGTGAACGTTCCTACAAAAGTCGTGTACGTTAGTGCGAACGAGGAGATTAAGAGATTAGTACATTTCAACGGAAATGTACTAATCTCTCGTTAAAGCACACATTCATATGTAAATCCAATTAACTTAATTTGTGTACGTTAAGTGTGTTTTCATAGTACAGGTATCCCCGACTTACGAACTCCGAACTTACGAGCTCTAACTTGTTCAAGGAGATGTACTATAAATAATTGTGATGTCTACATTGAAAAGTATTTTACAATTTAAGCAGTAATACGGAAGTGTGCTAAGATAAGTATATTTTTAAATTTTTAAAATTCCCTCACTTATGAACAAATTCGACTTACGAACAACCCTTTGGAACGGAACTAGTTAGTATGTCACGGGATACCTGTATTACTATATTTATAGTAGAATAGTGAATGTAAAGCATATTAAAATTAATTGCTCTTTTTTCTATTGTAGTGCAATTCTATTAAATCTATTAGTAAAAAAAAGTGTCATGCATCAAAGTATTTTCCGTGACACTAGTTTCTTAACATCAACTGCAACGATGAATGTCGCCCGATGCTCCGGCCTAATTATTTCTCTTAACTATAATTATAAGATTAATTACACGATTAGTGCAAATTGTTTTGTTGCACGCATTTGCATTGTAGATGCATACAATATTTTATACGCTCCTAGTAAACTGAAGCCTCGTGCAATTGCGGTTTTTCAATTAAAATTACTTTATTTTGCGCAATAACGCCGAATACATTGCGCAGTGGGATTGCAAGTAATTGGATGTTTTTGTCCTATTAATAGTTTATTTTTATTAATGAGCAGTTTCTTATTGCTGGAATTTCAAATTGTTATGTTATTTTTATTATACTACATTAGATGAAAAATAACAAGAATAATAATAAATCTTCACTTCACACATATTTCCGACAAGATGTGTACATAGTTTACATATAATAGTCGTTACGTTGATAACTAATAGCGTTAACAGCAAATCTAATTACTTATTATACACTACAACTAAATTATACTAATTATAACATGGAAACATGGTTCGATTCAATAGAACTATATATTATGATGGAAATATAAAAAAATAAGAGAGAATTTTTAAAGTTTATTTTAAAATCAAATAAACCTAAATAAACTTGTTGATAATCTATAGAATATAGATATTTATAGAATATGAATAAAGAATTAAGAAGTATATAAAAAATCTGTTTGTAATTAACTAATGAAATATAATAATTATATTTAGAAGGTGATCAACAGTGAGTACATTATTTTTGCTACGTTCTTCGCAAGATATAAAATACTTATTTAATAACCTGTAATTAACTTTATATGATGCTATAGACAAATTATTAACTTTTAAAGAGAATTGTGGTCAATAGGAATGTCCGTATGTATTAAATTATTATAAAGTTTTTCAATACTACGTCAAAAATTAATTTAGGAAGGATTTTTTTGATGTTTAGATAAAAAACAACATGAATCTACATTGCTAACTGTAACAGAGCACCTGATTGTGCATTGTATAATGTACAATGGTACCTTTAATATATTTATGATTGATAAATTGTCTGTGAAAAATACTATTCTAAATAGGGAATTAATCAGAATTAATTTTTCGTATTCTAGATTGACACACAAACTTTTGAGATGTTGTCCAATCTTCTAGAATTTAGAAATGATTATAATTTATTTCTTTGAATTATTTTTTCATTACAAAAACTACAGTCTGAAGATGGTACGAGGGTAGTCCCAGAAGTACCCGATCTAACAAGGAAAATACACTAAAAATCCAATAGCTTCGATACCCTGTTTATAGTGAAAACCATTGAGCTACGCTACCTCTTCATTGTAGGCAAATCTTTTACAAAAGAGTAGGGTGCATGAGGAAACAATTCGAACTAACACATTGTCTTGATTGTGACCAAACGCGGCAACCATCTTGCACAACTTCCTCATCTACAAATTTTCAGTCAATATACGATGTACAGCACTTTTTGAAATGCCTACTATGTCTGCTTTCAGTCGACGGTCATCCAATACTATTTTGTACATTTTCTTCACCATTTCTAGCGTGGTCACCTTATTTGTTCGACAACTACAATGTTCGTCTTGGCAGCTCGTACGACCTCGTTTAAATTCTGCCACTCAATATTTTTTTGTTGTAAACGAAGAAGCAGACTCGCTCAGAGTAGAATCTAGCTCGGCTTTGATATTGGTTGAATTGAGTGCATTTAAATAAAAGTATTGTATTACATAATGATGATCATATTTTTCCATTTTTACAAATTCACTGACACCGTTCACTTTTGATGGCTGTCAAACAAATAATAAAGAAGGTAGCGTCTTCAAACTTAAGCTTGATAATTTTGATCAAACAACACCCGTCGGGTACTTCTGGGACAGGCCTCGTATATCTGTTGTTGAAATAACAGAAATTCACGCAAGTCTGAAAGTGTACAGTGTATTTTCGAACAGGATATCGCTTAATATAAAACTATTAAAACTAATGCAAAATTATTACTTTTTTATCAATTATATAGATATAAATTTAACGATTCATTGTGATGTTGACCATTCCAAAAATGCAAGGTGATTGTTCTAAAAACTTCTCATTCTAAAAATGTCAAAAATCTATAAAATATAATTCCAAATTTATAATTATTAATTCAATAACAGCGGTTACATTTTATTTTTATTATTGTATTAAGTTGTTTCTTTAAATTTTTGTAATTTATTGTTGTAATAAATATTATTATTATTATTATTAATACTAATTTTATCAAATTTAGTTAAGTTATATATTTGTCTTACGCTTAGTAATGGAATTATCCTGTTAACGTTACTTTACATTCGAAATTCAAATTTAAGGTAATTCGGTTTTCAAACAATCTTTAGCAATAAATAATACTCCTTCCGTTCCAAAATAAGTGTCCGATTTAGGAATTTTATTAGTTCCAAAATAAGTTTCCAAAAATATGCAAAGTGATATAAAACTTGTATTTTCACAATTAAACTATAACCTAAAATGGAAAATATTTAAAAAATAAACACTTATGAGTAACATTTAATAAATTAGTAACTATAAACGGTCAAGTTCCTGCTCAAGTTCCTGTCAAGTTCAATGTTCTCTGCAAACGTTACAGTTTGTCTTTGCTCATGTGAGAAAGCTTATAATCGTTGCCTCCTTTATGAAGCATGGACAATTCCACAATATAATGAAAACATTGCCTAGTTTTCCACGGTTATTTCATCCCATACTTTATACACGGCCGAACTGAGTTCATCAATACTGGACGGAGACACTTTGTGTTGTAATGATTGAATGGCGTTAAAGAAACCCAAATCGAGGACACTGAAATCGGGATTGTTTGGTGATTGACAAATCATTATTATATTCCACGAATTTTCAGTACCAGCGCTAACAACTTCATCATCATCAACACTGGAAGATAATGCTAAACCACATTGCGTTTAGCATTATCTTCCTGAATTTTGATTGGCATGGTTTTACTATCAATATGCCATTGTTCTTTTATCACGAGAATTAATTTCTCTGTAATTGTTCGAATATAGATTTTTTGGTAGTTTTTGCAAAGATGACCGTAATTATTAATCTAAAACAAATTGTCGGCGGGTAAAACAAAACTAATCTAACAATTGTCACAAAATTTTACCTGTTCACTAATTTTTTTGACAAATGTCAAGCTTCAGGCGACTACTGGAGTCACTTCTTCCATGCTCAATTTAAATAAATAAGTACTGAATAATGGATTTATATGTAATCCATTATTCCAATAATCAATTTAAAAAAAACTATAAACTTATTTTGATTATAGCAAAAAAATATTAATATTGATTACAAAAAAAATAAATAAAATTATGTATTCAATTACAGAAAGTATGTGAAGTTGACTAATGTAAATTGAATTGCAAAAATTATAATTGTCTCGAAATTCTGGGGACATCTCATGAATCAATCAAGACATGACTTTGATCACTTATCCATTTGTAGCGGCTCACGTCTCCGCCGTTTCATTGTCAATGCCAATTGCTTTCAGTTGAAGGTTTGCATTTCAAATTGGCATCGTAATAATAAATAATAATGGTCTGATCCGATAATTAGAAAGGCTGCACACACGATCGAGTCATACGGCAATTATGAATATTAATTCGTCTGT